TTTTTACGATACTTCAACCCCCCCTTGAGAGTACAGCCACTAACAATCTAAGTTACTAATCAAACTACCAATCAATAAAACACAGCTATATACAGAACATATTAATCAAAATTCATTAATGAAATCAATTTATTTTAAAAAACCAAGAATTAAATGAAGATGAACAGAATTAAAAAGATCCTTAACAGTTTTAACATTGAAATATTTATCCCTTATGATGGAGAATTCAACACAGTCAAGCAGGAGATGCTTGACTGTGACTCATCACAAAGGGATACAAAACGGAGGATCTTCACCATTTAACAAATATTTGTGAGTGTACCTTGTATGGCCAATACGACATCGTCGCATGATGACCTCTTCAAATCTGGACTGACAACCCAAGTAAGTGTAACCGATATAAGGTTTTATTTCATGTAATTTATTTATACCTACTTGGGTGTCCCACTTCTTTTGCATCAGATCACGGATATAAGATCTTATAGCAGCTTTGTAATCAGAGTATGGGATCAGAAGTGGTGTCACAGATTTGTTGAGTGCTGCCTTAGCAGCAAGATCAGCCATTGTATTCCCAGAAATGCCAACGTGGCTGGGTAACCAACAAAAGACGATGTCGCATTGGCCAGTAGCAAGCTCATTATACAATTCAATAATTTCTAATAAAAGTGGATGTTTGCAAGAAAGATTTTAATAGCCTGAAGACAAGAAAGAGAATCTGAAAAGATGATGTATTGCATATATTTACGGTGTTTATTAATATATTTAAGAGCTGTTAAGATGGCGTTAGCTTCTGCTGTGAAAATAGAGCTGTTATTTGGTAATCGAGAAGATATTGTTCGGGATCAATGACAGTAGCACATGCAACCGCGCCACCGTCCTTGGACCCATCTGTAAATAAAGATTTGTATGTATTATATTTAGTTTTTAGCTGATTATATTCTTGTTTATACTTTAATTCATTACTTTCAGATTTCTTAAACTTTGTCAGAGTTAGGTCAACTTCAGGCCTCACCAGTTGCCAAGGAGGAGAAGAAAGAAGACGGGAAGGAGCTATATTTTCCAGCTCAATGCCGGCAGCAGAAATGAAGGGCTTAATTCTGTGTCCAAGAGGCTGAACAAAGAGAAGGTTTTGTTGTATAAATCCTCATAGAGGGATTGAAAACACAGTTAAATGCAGGGTTAGATTCGCTAGAATATAGTTTAGTAATGTATTGTAAAGATAATTTGATACGACGTTGTGTAAGAGAAGGCTCATCTGTTTCAACATATAGACTATCAATAGGAGAGGTTCTAAAGGACCCAAGACAAAGTCTTAGTCCTTGGTGGTGGACAGAATCGAATAATTTTTAGGTTGCTTTCTTGAGCTCCTCCATAGACGATGGAGCCATAATCAAGTTTGGATCATTACTAAGGATCTATATAAGTGAAGGAGGGTAGTTTGATCCCCTCCCATTTGGAATTAGAAACAACCTTTAACAAATCGAGAGCCTTCAGGCATTTAGCTTTAAGTGATTTTATATGTGGCAGGAAGGTTAAATGTGAATCGAAAATAAGACCAGGAACTTGGCCTCCTTGACAACTTTGATAGGGGAGCCATTCAGAAATAGTTCAGGATCTTTATGCGGTTTGTATTTACGGCAGAAATGTATACAATTAGTTTTGGACTTAGAAAATTTAAAGCCGTTTCAAGACACCATTTACTTATTTTGTTTAAACACAACTGCAGTTGCCGTTCAATAGTATGCATGTTTTGCCACGGCAAAGAAATGTTAAAATCATCCACAAATAATGATCCGTCGATGGAATCATTTAAAACCTTTGATAAGCTATTAATCTTTATGCTAAACAATGTCACGGACAATATACTGCCCTGTGGGACACCTGATCCTGATTGTAATGATCGGACAGTGTAGAGCCCACGCGGACTTGAAATTGCCTGTCATTTAAAAAATTGGCTATAAATTGGGGTAAAACGACCCGTAATCCAAAATCATGGAGATCTTTTTAAAATACCATGTTTCCAAGTAGTGTCATATGCTTTTCTAGATCGAAAAAAACCCGACACTGCGTGTTGTTTATTAATTATGGCATTTTTAACAAAAGATTCCAAACGCACTAAATGATCAATGGTACTACGGTTTTACGGAATCCACATTGTATATCAGTTAGAAGATTGTTGGTTTCTAAGTACCAAACAAGACGATTATTGATCATGCGTTCCATGGTTTTACAAACGCAGCTAGTAAGTGAAATTGGCCGATAATTTGAAGGATCAGTATGATCACGTCAGGTTTAGGGATTGGGACAATGATAGCATCACGCCATGAAGTAGGAAATTTCCCAGATGTCCAGATGTCATCAGAAATATGCAAGAGAGTCTCTAGACATGATTCTGGCAAATGCTTCAGGAGTTGATAATGTATATGATCAGACCCTGAAGCAGTATCGTGAAACCTGGTCAAGAGCAGTATAGAGCTCATGAATAGAAAATATCTCATTGTAATCTTCCCCATTATCTGAATTGAAATTAATAGCTTTCTTTTCTTGCTGTTTTGGTATGTTTGGAATTGACGGTCATAATTTGATGAGGAAGAATGTTTTGCTAAAAGTTTCTCCAAGTTTATTCGTAATTTCGGTTTTACTAGTTAACAATTGGTTTCCATCTTTAAGATGGTGTATGCTAGATTTTGAGCCCCTTTCCTTTGATTTTTTATCATATTCCAGACTTTAGACATTGGCGTACGCGAATTAATGTTTGATACATAATTTTGCCAAGATTGGCGTTTACTTTGTTTGAAAGTACGCCGTTAAAATCTTAAATTTATTTAAATTATGAACCATGGGGTGTCGGCGGAAATAATGCTCTGCCTTTTTCCGTTCCTTTCTAACCTGTTTGCAATTATCGTTGAACCATGGTTTTCGAATATGTGGAATTGCAGAGGACCTTGGTATACACTCGTCAGCAATGATATTCATTTCATCAGAAAAACGTTTTATAGCATCAGGAATATTAACAAAAAAGTTCAGGTTTAAAGCTTGTCAACACACAGCACTTCATATAAATGCCAGTCAGCCTTTTTGAAATTCCATCTTGATGATGGAGAAACATCAGATGGGGTTACAGGTTTTAGTAGTGTTGGGGAAATGGTCAGTACCGCAGAGGCCATCGTGAACTGACCATTCAAATTCATTTAATAGGTTTGGGTCTGTAATTGACATATCAAAGGGCCGAATATGTTCCTGTGCCAGGATGAAAATATGTATTTGAACCGTCATTACAAACGCATAAATCATTATTTGAAAGAAAATTCTCCAGCAATTTACCTTAAGTGTTTGTAAGCTGTGAACCACCCCAGAGCGGTGACTGGCCATTTAGATCCCCATAATAATACAGGGTTTAGGAAGTTCATCAACAACTCATAGTCTTTCGTTTTAGGTAATAGGGTCGCGCAGTAAGTGCACTGGATTGAAACGACAGAATAATGATACTTCACCAGACTTAGCAGTAGTAGAGATTTTAGTAGAGACGTAAGCAGTAATTTCATAAATCTGAAATATTTATATATCATAAATGTCTGCATTAGTTATGTGGGCACATTTGTAAATTTGATATCTGGATTTACCTTGAAATGTTGTTAATTATATTTATAGTAGTCTGAATATACAACACATAAATTGTGCAAGCAACGCATGTATATTTTAATATATATTCAAATGGCCTTGATGAAAATATATTACTAAGTGATTGATTGTATTCATAAATATATTGCTAAGTAATTGTTTTATTTATTATTGATTAATGGATTAAACCATTACAAACTGAGGTAATCAGTATGCTAAAGTGTATTGCAGTCAACCAGAATGTTGTTGTAATAAGCCGGGGAAGTTTTTTGGTGTGGAAGTTTTGGGGAGGATACCACCCGGGATACAGAATGCAGTAAACGCGGGTGGGCGTGCACTAAGTGTAACGATGCTCTCATTGGCTGGTTCATTTGTCCCGTCAAAGAAGTGATACGCTCAGAGATGTTTGTTTATGGTGTATAGCCTGATAGGTTTTCAAAGTGCATGTGGTCAGTGATGGAACTTTGTGTATTGCATATCGTCATTAGCAGACAGGCAGACAGACACATAGGTGTCAATAAAGCAGACTTTGAGTCACGTTTTTTGTAGTGTATCACCTTCACATATCACCATACAACATCTTCTTGTTTCACACACTTTAATCGCCCAAGAGAAAGATTAGAGGTACATCACTAGGTTGGAAGATGGCCGCCGAGTGACGTCACATAGCACTCGCTTATATTTATACGCTAAATAATCTCTAACCCAGCCATGCGGCAAGCCCATGCACGTGAATAACATGAATATCCTCAATACAAAGTTCAACCAATCAATACATTACACTCCTCCCACCTAAGTTTAAACTATCCATTCCCACAATACATGCGTATATACATATTTACTTATAACATACTTATGACCTTTACTCTTGCACAGTCTATATCCTTCACAGTGAAATGCTTTAATTTAAAGTCTTTTCCGGAACATACATCATTTTACTGTAGCACTGCATAAGATAAAATCCAGGAAATCACAGTTAAAAGTCAAAGAAATTCCCTTCACCACAAAACTATTCATCGTAATTTAAAGTTCATAACACTGAATATTTACACTGCTAGCACACATAGTCTTTCAGGTAACTCGGAGCTTTCCTCTCTCGTCTTGATCTCGTCACAGGATCTGACTGTACAGGAACAGATATCACCTCGGATCGTTGAGGTAGTTCTGCGACCTCAGAAGATTTGACAGGTGATACGGCTGAACTCACCCCTTGTGCTGAACTACTGGGGGTGGTGGTAGAGTCTACTACTAACCTCTCTGACGTTATACAGGTTGGTATATTCGTAGGCATCGTTGGCAGATTTCCGGACATCTCTGGAACGGTTGTCATGTCTGTACGTTGACGGATATGATCTTGATGACGCCTTACGACTCTGCCATCAGATAGTTCGACTATACAGGAAACTGGTCCACTTTCCTCCCTTACAGTTGCGGGTATCAATTAGTCCAGATGAAAAATTCTTCACATAGACTGAGTCTGTAATGGTAAAGTCTCTGTCTCGAGCATGTTGATCATGATATTCTTTCTGTTTCATCTGTTTGGCTTTTACCCTCTGAGACAAGTTAGGATGAACTAAATCTAGATGAGTTTTCAAACGTCGCCCCATGAGTAACTCTGCTGGACTTGTACCGGTTGAAGATTGTGGTGTTGTTCGATATCGAAATAGGAACCTTGACAGTCTCGTGTCAATTGATCCTCCTATATTCTTCTTCATTGCTTCCTTGAATGTTCTTACGGCTCTCTCTGCAAGTCCATTCGACGCAGGATGATACGGTGCAGTTTTCACATGATTCACACCATTCATTGTCAGAAACAATTCAAAGCTCTTCACTGGTGAATACAGAACCATTTTCACTAACTAGAATTTCTGGTAGTCCATGAACTGCAAACATTCTTCGTAATTTCTCTATTGTTGAAGTTGACGTTGCCTCTGAAACTGGTTCAACTTCAATCCACTTGCTATGAGCATCTATGACAATTAAGAACATCTTGCCTAGAAACGGACCAGCATAATCCACATGTATCCTCGTCCATGGTAACTCAGGCCATTCCCAAGGATGTAAATAAGCCTTGGGTTGTGTAGGCTGCATCTGTTGACAAACTGTACATTTCTTCACAAACCCCTCAAGTTCTGCATCCATTACGGCCACCAGATGTAACCACGAGCTAGACTCTTCATGCGCACAATACCTGGATGGGTCTGATGCAACTCATTAACCATCATATTTCTATCTTGACATGGTATCACAACTCTGTTTCCCCATAGTATACATCCATCATGTGCAGTAAGTTCCTCTTTCCTGCTGAAGAATGGTTTCAGACTTTCTTCTACGTTGTGATTTGGCCATCCACTCTGAATGTATCCAAGTACTTTTGACAACACAGCGTCAGTACGGGTCCATGCTCTGATATGTTTAACTGTAACGACAGCTGAATTCACTAAATCCATGAGCATGATAGTATCAGCTGGTACAGGTGTTTTCTCCACGTCTGGGCACTCACTCAATGGAAGTCTACTGAGACAATCAGCATTACTGTTGGTGATTCCAGCCTTGAATACCAGTGTATACTCATATGCTGCTAGCGTCAACGCCCACCTCTGTATGCGTGATGCCGCTAAGGTTGGAACTGCCTTGGTCTCTCCAAATAGTCCTAACAGTGGTTTATGATCAGTCACTATGGTAAAACAATGTCCAAACAAATATTGATGAAATTTCTTCACTGCAAACACTATGGCTAATCCTTCCCTCTCAAGTTGAGAATAATTCTTCTCTGCTGCATTCAAAGTTCTGGAAGCAAATCCGATTGGTCTTTCTGCACCATTATCCATACGATGAGCTAGTACGGCACCAATTCCATACGGTGAAGCATCACATGCCAGTATTAACTCCCTTGATGAGTCGAAATGTACTAGAACGTCGGCTGAACACAACAATTCCTTGGATTTATTGAAGGATTTCTGCTGTTCAGGTCCCCATGACCATGTTGATTTCTTCTGTAATAACTGATGCAGCGGTGCTAATATGGTTGAGAGATTCCTCATAAACCTTCCATAGTAGTTAAGCATTCTTAGGTAACTTTTGAGTTCTGTCACTGAAGTAGGCTCTGGAGCTTCTTTAATTGCCATAACCTTTTCTGGTACTGGATGTATTCCTTCTTTGTCAATTCTGTAGCCTAAATATACCACTTCTTGCGCAAGAAAGATACACTTTTTGCGTTTGAGTTTCAATCCTGCCTCGGCCAGTCTCTGTAACACCTTATCTAGTGCAGCCAAATGTTCCTTCCTATTACGTCCCGTGATTAGAATGTCATCCACTCTCACTAACACCCTGGGAAGTCCTCGTAATAGATTTTCCATACTTCTCTGGAATATTCCTGGTGCTGAAGATACTCCATATGGTAGCCTGTTGTATCTATACAGTCCCTTGTGTGTGTTGATTGTCACATACTTCTTGGAAGTTTCTTCTAACTTAATCTGTTGGTACGCTTGACTTAAATCCAATTTTGTGAATTCTTCGCCACCTCCAAGTGTTGCATACAAATCATCAGTCTTGGGTATGGGGTAATTATCCAATTTTGAAACCTTGTTGACAGTCACTTTGTAATCCCCACAGATCCTAATTTCCATGTCACTCTTGACGATCGGAACAATGGGAGCAGCCCACTCCGAAAACTCTATAGGTTCAATGGTACCTTCTGCTTGTAACTTATCCAATTCTTTCTCAATCTTCTCCTTCAGGGCATAAGGCACTGGACGAGCCTTGAAATACAGTGGTTTCACCTCAGCTTCCACATAAAGTTTTGCTTCTACCCCTTTAAACGTTCCTAACCCCTCAGAAAACAAAGTTGGATACTTTTCTACAATGCCGTGAAGTTCCTCAGACACTTCGACCGACTTTGATTGTATTTGGTTAATTTCCACCATCTTGCTTTGCTCTAAAGTGAATATCCTCGCAATATCCCTTGGCTCAAGTTGGAGCACTTTAATCCAGTTTCGTCCCAGCAAACTTGGACGCTTCCCTTTAGTGATGCGAAGAGGCAGGTTAAGAACCTGGTTATGGTACTTCACTGGCACAACACAAACTCTTACCGCCTTGATCACTTCTCCCGAATATGTTCTAAACTTGTCCTCAGACTGTTGAACCTCAAGATTTTTCTTCTCATTCAAATAGTTGAATGTTGATTCATCCACTACAGAAACCGCAGCTCCTGTGTCCAGTTCGAACTCTTGTGGTTGTCCATTCACTGTCAGTTTGATTACATAGGGGTCACTTCTTTCTTCCTCCAAAATAAACATATTGTATCCAACGTCCTCTTGAACACTCTCACTGTATAGATCCATATGTGCTAAATCCATATTTTGTTCCTCAGAACTCTCCATCCCAGCACGAAAATTTGTTCTATGGCCTCTCTGCGACTGTGAACCACGACTGCCTCGGCTGCCTTGGTGTGGACCTCGACCTCTACTTGGACGATGATTAGTGGGAGTACGTGGCTTCCCATGATTTCTGTTTCTACATTTCTGAGCAATATGTCCAACTTGATGACAAATATAGCACTCTGAATCTTTGTAAAAACAAACAGATGATGAATGTTTACCTCCACAGCGAAAACAGTCTCCATTATGGTTATAACTTGAATACTTTCCTCTTCCCCTCTGGATCCCATGTCCACCCCGCTGAATATGGTGATTTACATGGTGAATAGAAGATGTAGGATTCCCAGAAGGAAGTTGTAAATCTGCTGTATTCTTAGCTGTAGTCTCTTTTGCTCGTGCCAATTCCCATGCTCTTTCAAATTTCAAGGAATCTTCTGCTAACAAACGTCTCTGAATTCTTTCATCATTTATGCCACAAACAAGTCTATCTCTCAACATATCCTCTAAATAAGTTCCAAAATTACAGAATTCAGACAATTTCCTAAGTTCTGCCACGTACTCACTCACTTACTCGGCGGATTTCCTACGGCGTGTGTGAAACTTGAACCTTTGCACAATCTCTGACGTGTGGGGATTCCGATGCTTTCTCACTGTTTCCACGAGCTCGTCGTATTTCTTGTCTCCTGGCTTCGCTGGAGCAAGTAAATTTCTTGTCTCCTCATTAACGAATATGTTTTACTACCACAGACACTCAACAATATAGCTTTCTTCTTTTCCTCCTCTATCCCATTAGCCTCGAAATAATGTGACAGACGCTCCGTGTACTGTGACCAGTCCTCGTCTTCGTTAAATTCGCTGATAGAACCGAATGTCGCCATCATTCGACTGCTCTAGGATACGAAGTTAATCCTCGTCGCCAATTGTAGTGTATCACCTTCACATATCACCATACAACATCTTCTTGTTTCACACACTTTAATCGCCCCAAGAGAAACATTAGAGGTACATCACTAGGTTGGAGGATGGCCGCCGAGTGACGTCACATAGCACTCGCTTATATTTATACTCTACCCTAAAGTAATCTCTAATCCAGCCATGCGGCCAGCCATGCACGTGAATAACATGAATATCCCCAATACAAAGTTCAACCAATCAATACATTACATTTGTGACAAGCGCCGCTCAGCACAATCAACAGAGATCCCAGCATTCGTTATATAACTTGAATAGATTATGTACTATGTGTTGTTTGTGTATACAACCAAGATTAGACTACGCCTGTTCACAACATTATAATGTAGCCATCCTGGTTCAAGCCGCGCGAATTATAAACTGCGCATGCGGTATGCGCGCAGCGCAGCACAACGTTTGGAACCACTTTATCCCAGGAGGGTTCTTTTAGTGAACTCTTTGAACTTCGATTGCGGGATTTTTGACATCATGTATTTTTCAATTTAATAAGTTGAATATACATATTTGATAAGTTGTAACTGTAAGTCCATTCCGAAGGGTATCAGAATGTGCAATTGGTATTTTGTCGTTGCATGTGAGCGTTAATGGATTTCAACTTTTGTCTAAGAGTTTTGATTCACGCAAATCTTTATTTTATGAAAGTGCTGCACCTATCACATTGTTATTTTTATAAATCTTATGCATAATTTGTGAATTATGTTGGATGATTATAGTGTGAAACACAAGTTCCATGTGCATTTTCTTAGAACAACCTGACGTATATAAATACAGTGGGAAACCTTTACAAAGTGATTATAATACTTTCTATTTGGTAGTTATTGAATTGCTATCTCATTTTAACAAATATTTGAATATCAAACTGTCTGTGGTTTGTATATGAAAGAGCATTTTACCACGTATTAAAGTGTTGATGCACAATGATAAATATATATTTTTTTGATGTTTGCCAAAAAGTTTTATAAGAATACAAAACATCAGAAAAAATTCATATTCTTTAATGAGCACAATTGTTTTTCGCATTTAGAATTCCAGTATTCATTCACATATTAATGGTAGACCTTTTATGTGTCGCGAATCAATATCTATATAACTGTCTTAGTTGTTTTCTTGGCTACTTTTTTTTGCTGTGTCGAAATATGTGGAAAATGTTTTCAAATTCATAAACAAAGACATATCGGGATGTTTGTGTACATTTCTTCACTTTTTGCTTTTAAAAAAGTTTTAGACACCCCCTGACAAGGTAAAACATAATATACATACACTATTCAATTTTCAACATGATTTCATGTATTGAGTGGAATTCACATACAAATTGAACACAATTTCTCTTGTAACATTAGGTATATATGATGTTTTATACAAATAACATTTAACGTAATTGCGGATTATGAATAGTTATAAAATTTGGTTGACTCATTTTAAACGTGAATTGTTTGAATTAAATTTGTCCAGTATTGCGTGTGATTAATGAAAAAAATCATTAACTTATGTGGGAAGCTTTGTTTACCCATTACATTGTAAGCGTATTTGTATCGCATGTGAGTAATGAAATATCACTAACCTTATGTAGGGAGCTCTGTCACCCATTACGTTGTAAGGTATTTGTATCCCATGTGATTTTATAAAATATTCATAACGTTGTGTGGGGAGCTCTGTTGTTCTATTACATTGTAAGTTATTGTTGTATGGTATGTGATTTATGAAATATTACTAACGTTATGTGGGAGCTCTGTTGACACTTTACATTGTAAGGTATTTGTATTGAATGGGAATAATAAAATATTACTGACGTTATGTGGGGTTCTCTGGTCACCTATTACATTGTCACATATTTGTAGCGCATGTGATTAATCAAATACATACATACATACATACATATTAACATTTGTATAGCGCCGATATCCAGCTCAGCTCAGCTGCTCAAAGGCGCTTTGTTTTTCCCTCGTTCACTGGATGTCAATCTCAACGGCACATCGTATTGTCAATCTCAACTCCCTGGGGGCATACAACTCTTGCAGCCACTAGGCGCACCGAGTTAGTGTGGCATTCCCATCCTTACGAGAAGTGCCCATTTACAGCTGGGTGGACTGGGACACATAGTCACAGTACTTTGTCCATGTTTACTGCGTTGCTGTACCCGCAACTGGGTGTTTGCACGTATTCATGTGGCCACCATCTGGTCATATACCAACGGATTCGTGGGTTCTTTTAAGTGCACAGGGTTGTGTACCGTACACTGGGGTTGTGACAACACTGAAAGAGTCTGCACACAAAGTTGACTCCAAGGTTTTACACCCGGTCACAGGTGGGCTCGATCCCGGCACCTCAATCTCGCTGGATCACTAGCCTGGCGCTTTAGCCAGTTCGCCCACCGCGCCACGCAGTTCGCCCACCCCGTGTGGTAGCTCTGTTGACCCATCACGCTGTAATTTGTATCGCATAATGATTAAACAAATACATGCAACGTTGTGTGGGGAGCTCTGTTGACCCATCACGTTGTAGTGTTTGTATCGCATGTGATTAAACAAATATTACTAACGTTGTGTGGGGAGCTCTGTTGACCCATCACATTGTAACGTGTTTGCATCGCATGTGATTAAACAAATATTACTAACGTTGTGTGGGGAGCTCTGTTGACCCATCACATTGTAACGTGTTTGCATCGCATGTGATTAAACAAATATTACTAACGTTGTGTGGGGGCTCTGTTGACCCATCACATTGTAACGTGTTTGTATCGCATGTGATTAAACAAATATTACTAACGTTATTGTGGGGAGCTCTGTTGACCCATCATGTAACGTATGTTTGTATCGCATGTGATTAAAACAAATATTCATAACGTTGTGTGGGGAGCTCTGTTGACCCATCACATTGTAACGTGTTTGCATCGCATGTGATTAAACAAATATTACTAACGTTGTGTGGGGAGCTCTGTTGACCCATCACATTGTAACGTGTTTGCATCGCATGTGATTAAACAAATATTACTAACGTTGTGTGGGGAGCTCTGTTGACCCAATAAATTATAACTTATTAAGATACAAGATTGCGAGAAAAGGAAAATTTATGGATATCAATTTTCATATCGCAAGTAACACGATATTTCGGTGTGTATGTGTACTCCTTCCTGATGATGGATAAAGCATACACTCAGAAACGTTGTGTTATTTACAATAAAGAAGTTAACATCTATAATTCTTGCTTTTCTTATGTATTCGAATTCTAAATGCCGTGAAAAGATTTACGTGTTCATACTTACTCACTCGTTCATTCACATAACTTTCCACTAGAAATAAAATAATTGTAGGAACAATAATAAAGCCTGAAATCATATGTTACATTATTTTAATTATTGTTTAATCGACAGCACTTGTCTGGAGAATCCATCTGAAAGAATAACAATGAAATTATTAAATATATTTTGACATAATATTTTCTGCCACATTAGTTGTACATGAAAATGGTTTTACTAATCAACAGTTCATTGAATTTGCAATATATCATTGTGACACAATAGTTGTAAACCGACTAGTGGATTTATGTGAAGGTAACTTTTTTCATAATGACCAGTACAGAATTTTATGAAGAATATTAACAAACCTTGATTTCATCTATTTGAAGTTTTTTCACTTTCTGTCTGTTTCTTCTTCCTCACTCTCCTCCACCTCTTCCTCTTCCTCTTCTTCCTTCTCTGCCTCCTTCTCTTCCTCGTTCTCCCCCTCCATCTCTTCCATCTCCTCCTTCTCTTGAGAACTAAAACAAAATTGTACGATGATTATGAAGAAAATGTATTGTGCAGCATAATAAATAAATACTAAAGTCATATGTCCACATTGTATGAAATGGGCAACTTTAACATATGATTTGAAAAGTCAGATGAGTTCCATAGGAACCTAATATATAACTCTTTCCTATTTATCAGTTTATAAATTAATTATATTAATCAGAATCATGGTAATTGCGGTGTAATTCCTGCAATAAATACCAATACAAATACAAAAGTTATACTCACATAGACATCACGGAATCTCCCTTTACAATGCATGTTATTGTGCCACGTGGAATTGTTTCGCTTGGAAAAGCCTCGTTGATGAGATCTCTGTCGCAATGATATACTGCTCCATTGATCACAATCATTGGTGCTTCGCTGTAATGACATAAATTTATACATTATATAGTGAATTCAATTTCCATTTAATTTTATGCGCTGTCGCTTACTAGGGTGTGTGGAGGTAAGGGGTGGGAGAGGTGTGTAGGGGTGGTGGTGGGGGTTAGGGGCGGCTGGATGGCAGATAAAAGGTAACTATATGGTATTCATCAGAGGTTTGAATATGAACATAATCATATACTTACTCCCCAAATCCAACTGCATCTACCTCTTGTTATTGTTTGCATTTCTTGTTCGATTACCTACAAGTGAATATGATGAGTCTAAAATGAAGGTTATTTCATCGCACAATTTTTGTGATTTCAAAATGTTACAATATAGTCTTTAAGCATATGTTACAATAGAGCTTTTAAGATATATTTCCTGAATGACGCAGATATTAGAAATTAAGTACATTGTTATTTTAAGTAATGAGTGTTTATAGACGTCATTTACTAGGGTATTAAAATCATCTGTCACTCACCTCAACCGTTGTTAGATGCGTAGAATTTAAATCTTTCCTGTATTTATATTCTTTGGCACATACATGTGAAATCTGAACCAGCTGCTTGATTGGGGTGTCCAGAAATGATTGTTTTCCCAGAGTTTTACCGCCATGTTGAAGTTGTCTTCTGAGAGAGTGACTGTTTTGAGGTCTATCTCATATGCGCGTGAAACCTTGACAGAAAGGAATACATTAATTAAATGAAACAAATGTGAACTTATATTTAAATTGTTATATTGTAAACGATAATGTTTTTCTGGTTTTATTTAGTTTGCAATGCTAAATCTGGTACTGTTTTGAGAGAAATATCAAATTACGTAAAATTTATTAGTATTATGTGATTCCCTAAAATACTTACTTGTTCAACTTTCCCGACGACTGTGATTTTGTTGCCCAAGGGCGTGCCCAGAGCCTCTTTTATGGTTTTGACGGGAGGGTTTCTATAAGATTCAATCACCCCTTCATCGTACGCAAACGGCTTGCATGATAGAATCTGTAAGAAAGCAAATATAGACAAATCATCACACATGAGTATATTACATATTAAAATGAAATATTATTTATAGTAACAATTCTCTTGACTTTAAGTATTGTGGACTGCATATACGATATGATGGCATGGCAGTTTAAATGATGGGATTATACAACGTATATGTATATTTTTGGCACAACAAGTTCTTCACGTGTTTTTGTTGGTGAAATATGAAGAATATTTAAGGAAAACATGCAACTAAAATAGCCTCATATCAAAAAGTGAATTTAAGGGTTTTATTTTAAATTTGATATTTATTCTAGAAATCATTTAACAGTTACAAGTATTTTATATTCGCTTCCTCATTTATACCCAAAGAAAAGTCTATTGTTTACCTTCGAATTGTTATTTATCCTTAATACTCCATCCTCTTTCAATACGACATCTGTCGCCATGTGAAAGCCTGGCTTCACTTCTCCAAAGTCCATTGGCATTCTGACCATCGTCAAGGCGTTTGGTTTGGACTTCAAGATCACTTGCGTCCCTGTGAAAAGTCCAAACTTACTCTTCATTTCGATTACTTCTGTGAACGCGAAGAAAGCCAGATTCTGCGTACATTGTTTCTGTAATAATTGGAATCAAAATCATTAATTACTGTGTTGGTAAATAGTATTATTGAAACGCAATGTTAATGTTAAAGTAAACCTAATTACTAAGTTGACAATGTTTACACTTTGTATCTAAAAGCAAGATATTTCCAGACATAAGCAGCAATATGATATCTGTACTGCTACTTATTCAATAATGCATCACACAACAGCAGTTTAATTTTGAAACAATTTTAAGAATGACTTACCTTAGTGGGGGTCTTGTTGGTTGATGTTGATGCCATTCTGGAAAAGCTGTATGATTTCAAAAGTCCTCGTAGTGGTAGTCCAAAGTGAAAGGTACAGATACCAGTCAAACCCTGACTTATATTGATTACGGACAGCCAATCAGATCTTTTTCTTTCTGGAGGCTAATAAAACTCTTTCTCGAATACACAACCCCGGTTGTTTTAGCCAATGAATTAGTGTTATGAATCTGGTCCGGCGATGTCCCAGAAAAAATCACAAATCATGCCATGTTAAGCCACGCCCCATAGTCAAATGGTATAGAAAGTGTGTTATGTAATAGACACGTGTATGCAATGGTACATTGTAAATAGTTTTACTTGTTGGTTATTTTTCGTGCATTAGAAGCACAGAAAAATGTTTAATAAGATGTAGATGTATATTTCCTTTTGCAAGTACGTAAGAAAACACAGCAAATGTGTCAGTGCGGATTAATCTGTATAAAAGTAGTATCATAAGCATTAGAGAGTCTGGTGTAAAGACATTAAGCTTTCGTTGCTGTGTAGATATTTATATAAAAACATGTGCAATGATATACAGAGCAATAAAACACAATATCGTTTGTTTACAGTTTACTACTTATAGTGGTTTAGGTGAATAATAAGTACCTCATACTGTATAAGTATCTTTATACTATTTTTTCCTAGTTACAAATTTTTAGACAATGTAATAATAAAGTATCATTTCTCTAATGAAAAAAGCACGTACTCATCTATATAAACATTCCCGTGGCTCCTTAACACATTTAATTCCTTATGTATACAACTTATATACGTCCCGTTAAATGCTTTCTATTCATCCCTACTTTATCTGTGATCAACTTAAATCGTCAATTGTACAAACATCTCCATTTACGCTTTTCCCTATGTATTGCATAAACATGTCATGTACATATATCATCAACTGCACCCCTTGAAGAGCAACCTCCTCGTGGTGGGTGCTGGGTAACGCTAATGGCTCTTCGCCCCCGTGTGGACCTGGGTCGAATAGGTGCACAGCACCCCATTGCTGGTCGTAAGAGGCGATCAAATTGGGCAACCCGTTTGCCGTGGGTTGCATCCCTGTGTCGGCAGAGGAAGGGAGTCTGGTGGTTGAGGATGACGGAACCGGCAATAGCGTTCACTAATCCAACACACCACTTCGACCCTAACTTTGCCTAGACGGGTGGTAGAATAGGCCCGATTCTACCAATCGGCTGGTCACGCCTTGCCCTGTGAATGGAATGTCTACACAAAACGTGGTATTACATAACACTTTTGACCATGTTCAAAATGTTAACAAATACTCTACGAAACAATTTAGCCTCGCAGACCCATGCACAGAAGGCGGTGGCTCATGGGCCAATCTGGTGATGCTGACCTCCGATTTCTGTACGTCTCCAATTGATTGTCATGGACTGAACCATCCTGACCTTTAATCTGGTAGGCAGCTACAGCATTTCATGTCAAATTCGCTGGAGTATAACATCCCCTTATCCTGGTCTTTGCAGCTTGGAGATCCGCTGCAATATAAGATCGTCCTTGTTGACACTCCACGGTGGGTGGGGAGAGGGGATGCCGAACCACATTACCCACGACATGGCTTCCCAATACCCCGGTTCAAAACGAAGACACATGGATACCGACAATTCCTCGTCTGACGAGAGTACGCTTCGACCCGACCTGACTACTGGCCACGCTTCCTGATTATTGAGGCTTGTGTGACAAGCAACCTTTGCAATTGAACCCTTTTGCAATCTCCAAAGGTATCGTTGGTATCTGCGGAGAGGTTGCCAATGTCACAAAGCTCCGATCTAGCTCTCTCCTGATAGAATGTACCCGGAAACACCAATCTTTAAATCTTCTCAAAATACAAGAATTTGTAAATATCAAGGTCGCTGTCTCAGCACACAAAACCCTTAATTCGTGTAGAGGCATTGTACGGGACAGAGCTCGATGCCTGTCTGACATGACTGAAGAACAAATTGTCAAGGAACTCTCTCAGCAATCTGTCACAGCCGTCAAACGAATTACCTTAAAAGGATGGTGTTGTTCAAGCAACAAACACCTATCTCTTCACGTTTGCGCGAGCAAACATTCCTGACTCGATTAAAGCTGGTTATTGTAGCATTGGTGTGGAGGTGTATGTCCCCAATCCACTCCGGTGCTACAACTGCCAAAAGTTTGGACATGGATCCAAGTCCTGTCGTTCCTCTGCTGTCTGTTACCGCTGTGGTGACAAGCATGAGGGCAACGACTGTACTAAGGAAGTGAAGTGCCCAAACTGCGGTGGTAAATCCATATGGCCTCTTCCAAGTTCTGCCCAGTATGGAAACGCGAATCCGAGATACTGAAGATTAAACACAAAGAAAATATCTCCTTTCACGAAGCAAGAAGAGGGTTGCAAGTCTAACTGCAGCCCCTTCAACCATCACCTTCTCTGCTGCTGTCTCCCGTCCTACCATCACTACTGCAACCATCTCATTTCAGACCGACCTGACATGGGTCACGTCTTCTCAGCCAACTGAACTCAACACAACTCAGCCTATCTCAGCCACTCCATCTCCAACGCCAAAAGTCAAAACTTCTGGAATCACAAACGCCAGAACAAATGCCAAAACCAGAGACAGAAACTGCGCGCAGAAAAAGGGAAAAAGAGGCTAGAGAGACTAAAGCAACGCGAACAACTGCCAAACACAAAACCAAAGG